ATGGTTTGGAACATTACGGTAATTGAAACTGTATGCCATAACAGTTATACTGTTGTTTCAGCAGAAAATGAAAGCCGAGTGCGTGATGCGCTTCGTGCGTTATTTGTGCATCTACACATGCACACTTTGGGTAGAGCAGCTTCTGTGATAGATGTCGCAGATCATAGCTTTTGTAGGTGCCTCGAAGCACGCCGATCGGGGAATATAGGGATCCTAAAATCGACAGCTACTTATTTCGACGGGCACTCCTCTGGTTGACGAGAAAATATGACTTTATTTTACACTGATTTGCATAAATGCTCGCGACATATTCCCTGCTCAAAATGCGTACCACCAGAGTGGGTCAGTCGGCTTGGTTCGAAGGGCCGCCGGTAATGGAAAGTCCCCATGTTCACTTTGCTTAATAATTGCCATATGCGACGGGACTATTTGTCAATAAATAACGTTCAACCGTAGGAAAGAAGGAATCCATTTTTCACATCTGTAAATTAGAGGGTCTGATTTCTAAAGCCCTTGGCCGACCAGACACCTCCATGCATTAGAATTGTACGTAAATACATGACAAACACTTTCGCTCATTGCTTCGCATTGATGTTAGTTGCTATTTATACGTTGGACTGTATAGATGTATGCCTCTGATCACAACACCTCTTTTTGTTGAGATAGGGAAGCGCATTACTTTTGGAGTATAACAGTTCATATCACGTGAATATAGCAGTCCTTTAGCTATATTCTACAAGTTTTAATTAGTTTTCTAAAATAATCTCCCCTAATTCTAGGACTTGTATCCTAAGGAGCACTGCCCTAGGATTCGTCGAGATGATGTTAAGGAAAGAAGTGATTCATCTTGAAGACACCAACCAACTGGAACGTTTAAAGACTGCTGCATAAAGAACAGCTAACTTTAATCTTGTTTGGAATGCTGTCAAACAATGCTGGCTGTGTCCAATACGCCTAAGGGCTGTGATTTGCCCCTCTAACTGGGGGCAATATGAATTTTTGCCTGTCTCACTTTATCTTCCAGCACTAATTATTTGCAAATAAGTTTAGTGATTTGGTACCTATCCATACAATTTTTTTGTTGATTTAGGCCATGAGTACACGCTACCCCTTTTCAGTCAGAGTTGAACATGATGGGTCATACGTTTAGCTGCGGTTCTTATTGATTCTCCTTACAGATGTTCCGTAAAATGTACCTCTACAACAAAAGCCATAGAGGGGATCTGTGTAAGCGTAATTTTATAGGTATGTATATCCAATACTTCGCCAGTTAAGGGACTAATGATGACAATGGCTCTTATGAAGCCAAACAACAACATCCCCGTTTTGTAATCTTTTAACTTCTGTTTACGTCAATGAAACATCTACATACATTTTACCTTTATCTCCATAACAATTTCGGGATTACTTAGCCTATAGTGCATTGACATAGAAAATGTGTTATTTTCATTCAACAAAATGGCTTGCCTTATATCTAGTTCCAGTTAGTATCGGTGGTGCTTCATTGCGACCCATTTTTTTGTGTTGATCCAGCAAGAAGCTTGATGCACACGCGAGCACAGCAGGTTAAAAATCATTAACAAAATACTTTTAACCGCCGAAAATGATGATATCCGAATATTAAAAAGGCATATTGGAACAATGAATGCGTGTGTTAACGAGATGCCTAAACCCCCTTTTTTGTCACGAGCTTCACTGACCCGCCTAGTTAACCTACTAGAGTGATTGGAGATTTATCAACTCCAATATTCGCATACGATGAAACTATGAGCTCTAATCTGTAGTCTGACAATTTCTTAGCAAGCCGGACCTAGCGGACTTAGCAAGACCGTTAAAGTGACTTCTGTAAGCAAAAGTAAGCGGTAATGCCACTCAAATAGCTGCATGACACGCTGTAAAGTTGTAAACAGCGCTCAGACTATTTGTCATGAAAGTTACAGGACGTCCAGAGAAAATTGTCGCTAACGGAAAATGGCAAGCAGGGTTATCTTATCTAGATAGATCGATAATTCTGATCCATGACACGCTGTCGATTGAATTCAGAATAAGGTGTATTCGTGCCAATATTCATCTCTAAGTATTAAAATCCGTCAGTCATTTGTAAATTTTGCAACAAGGCTGAACACGGTCAGCTTTACGTATACGGTCTGTCTTTAGCACGTGAAGATGCTTCTTTTGGTGCAAAAAGTCTTGTTTTCTAAATGTACATGAACAGCTATATAGGAAGGTCGAGAGAAATTGTTTAGAGGAATTCAAATCGACAACGATGGGTGGTGCGTATATATATGTGACTGTCACAAACGAATCCAGCGGACTCTCAAATCAAAAACTTTTTTGAGTTAATTAAGCTAGAATGGTGTTTTTTGATATATGATAGAGATACCCTCGCGTATTCTTTTCTAGACTTTCCCCAGTGCCGTGGCAGTTTTCGGACAGACATATGTTTACCATCAGTGTTCTCCTGTGTAACTTCTCCATTTATGGCCTCTTAAAGTAAATTGATATGTTTGCCCGCCGGTAGCTATTTTTAAGGCATGGAATGTCCTGTCTTAACGCGGACTTAGATCAAGCCAATAAGCATATTGAGGTCGATGTCAGATCTTCCTTTGCTCAATGCAGGAAGTAATCGTACTAATGTAGGCCCATAAATTTTGGCGTTAAATAATCAGATTGCGTGCTTTCGAGTGCTGCGCCGATGGTTGATAAGTCTCCTGAAGAAACTCCAGATATTGTTTTACTGTTAACGAGTATTTCATAGTAATAAATGGCCTTGATGCCCAAGGCATCGTACACCTGAGCCTGTTCGACACTCTCAATTTCTCTTGGAGGTGACGCCATTTTCTCGCCTGGTCCTTTTCCGGTTGGCGGTACCCTGCCTCCTCTAAGCCAACTGGACGTTTTGTAGACTGTGAGTTTTTGTAGACTGAAAATCGCTGATTGCAGGTGGCATATAGCGCACGTATTTTTAGTAAGCCTGAAGACAATTCACTGGGACCTATTCTTACTCAGATTTAGTAACACGGTTTTTAGTAACACGGTTATAATTCTGTAACACGTTACATGTGAAATGCTACTTTTGATTGGCAAAATCCTTACGCCCCAAGCTCCGCTTTCGTGAAGAGACTCCCTTTATTTCGCCAACACCTTCTAATTTTTCAATTCGCAACATCTGCTTACCCTGTTAGATCCATTATATATATATATATATATATATATATATCCATATATATATATATATATATATATTATATATATGACCGTTGGACGAGTGCTTATATAGCACTCGTATATATGATATTAGTTTTGCTAAGTCTTCGGGAAATTCAAAAAATTATTGAAAGTGAAGACACTGACCATATGGCTAGTGCTTGGAATTGAACTGATTCATAGACCTTGGATGCAGGAGTTGCCAACGGACACGCTTAACACCTACATGCGACTACTTTGTGCCTTCTAGTGCGGCCTTAGTGGATCTTTAAATGCAACAAGATGACGGTATTAATCCACCCATCGACCCAATATCATTGATGTTATTTAATGATCAAGTTAATTTTCCATTATGTTTCGTTTCTATCATTATCATCGTTCTTAATTAGTTATAATAAACCGTATAGTAGCTACTACCGCAGATACCTCTGGAATATATGAAACAAGTACAGTATATATGTCCGGAAGTTTATATAATAAATTGAAAAACTTAATTCAAGCAGACGGCTCAAAAGAATAGTTTAGTTACTTAGTTACTTCTAAGCCGATTTTCGATCTTCTTCTTTGCAACGTTCTTGCAACAACGACCAACATTTTCGTATGCGCTCTTGCCTTTTCGTGTATCATTAATCAACTTAGTTTCCACCGCAAACATATATATTTTACCCATCAACATCATGTTTTATAAGCAACGGGAAACTTGTTAAAGTCAACAAAGAAACAACAACATGACTGTACTTATGACTCAACTTAATAATAACTGAGATCAATAACGGTTATATTAGCCCGCTGAGCTGAACTTCTAGTTATCGCTGGCTAGAAATGCGACATAGTGTCCTCGTAATGGTACTATGGTGACGTCTTTGTCTCCTGGCTTTGACGCTAGGTATACGTAAGGTGGATTAGAATCAAAGCCAGGAATGACCATCATTTGGTTCACACAGGAAATCCACCTTCTGCAGAAGAATAACATTAGGACAATTAAACGTATTTTCAGTGTTCACACCTTCAGATCATTTCAATCGAGGTCGATATCGATCAGGTAATTAATTTCGCAATGACAGGATTAAGCTTTTAAGTTGTCCTTGAGGAACGTGTTTTCAAATTAATGATTTTTACCCTATACAGTGGGTTAAGCAATAAAGTTATACGACCTAAATAAAGGTAGTAACTCAGTCCCGTACGACTCGTGGGTCGCCGACTTATTTTTTGGTAGCGATGATATTACAGATAAACCGTAAACGTAAGGGGTAGTTTCTAGTAGCAAACTGAACATTTGCAATGCATTCTCTGACCCCAAGATACAGCATATATCTCTGCCATGTTTTTGTACTAATAACTAGGTGGTCCTGCGTAGCAAGCTTGTAATGTCGTATAGTTTTTTCACCGACTAAACAAAACATGCAACATTTTGTCTATATAAATGTTTATATATATAAGATTTTTGTCAGGAATAGGTAGTCTTATTTAGCAGAAGCACCTCTTAAAGGCCTCTGACCGTCACCTAATACGGACCTGACTATGCGTCACAATCGCACAAACCGTCAAACACAGTTGCTGTTGTGTCATTGTGCTTAGTTTCAATATACACGGTTATCTAATAATCTATAAAAACTGCCTAGTAGTAGAATAACAGTCATAATTAATACCATTGATACATACTATCCAGTTAGTTCAGCTACAAACATATCGTATCATATTTTTTATCATCAAACCCACATATAAATCAATCCGCTTGACATCAAAATACCGGCACGCTTTGTTGTCGTATCTACAGGTAACATCGCTCCTACCTGTAGTTATAAGTGGCTGTGGGCACACGATCCCTAAAGGTCTGCCTAATCCAAATAATCCATAATCATTCTGTACGGTTTTGATCCGTTACCACTACACGGTTACGATGAACCTATGAACAAATTACTATGTTTTCTTCAACACATCGTTTTTTTCCGGATAATGAAGTTCCTTGCAAGCAATAACCAAGCAATTGAATGTCATCGTTAGTTAACGAAGGCACGTTTCGGCAGGATATCAGACTTGGCGAGACTTTTGCTGTAAACCATTTCTTCTTCTGCACTTCCCCCTTTCCTTCTTTTCTCCTTATTTATATATAATAACACTGATCTTCGTTGTGGATGCTGCCAACGTCCGCACTTTTCGCTATAGAGATTTCAAACAATAGCACTCTTCATGCACTGCTCAGGTGTTACCTTCGCCGTCACTTCCTCAGGTATCTTTTCGATATTTTTGCGCGTCGTATTATTTACGCACGTAGTAGTGGGTCCGGCGGAGAAATCGACAACCCACAACATGAATTGATATATCTCAATGCGCTGCACTGCATCGGGTTATATAGGGGCCAAGCGTTAATCAATTGTTCCAATCCGGCTCATCACATTGAGCTGAAACGTCGAAGACCGAAGAAGCTTTCCGAGTGCCAACCTGTGGGTTTCTCCTCTTGACACTCTCCGAGCGGTTTTCGTCAGAAGTCTATGGGTAATGCCATGTGGCCGATAGTCCCTTCCCCGCATCGACCCTCTCCAGCATGAAGGAGTGTTGCTGAAAGCGGGAGGTACCAGTTTCACTCCTAGAAAAGAAACGACCATGAAGTGGAGAATGAGGACGTTTTCGACCCTTATATCCCTATTTATAATAGAGATGGCCTTCAAGCAAGACTAGTGGAACTATGGAGAATGGCTTGACGTGGACAGGAAAGTGGGCCTTCTCTACACATAAACCTGCAAAGACAATCAACAAAAATGCCACTTTGCTCAGACGACTTGATTATAAAGGAGTTCGCTATAGCTACTTCGTTCGTGTTAAGTAAGGGTGTGAAGGCTTGCGTTTAGAGTATCCTAAAAAGGTTAAGTTCGTTGTAGCTGGTATAAAGAGTTAATAGCTATAACGTTGAAACTGTATGTAACAAGGCTAATGGGAGTGTATTGTTGCCAGATGAAACTGCACTCGCCCGCATGTATGCATTTCTTCTTATGGATGAAGTTTACTGTGTATTATAGACACTAGAAATTTGATGAATGACTCTTCCGCTCTACGCTTGCAAAAGGATGCAGGATATATATATATATATATATATATATATATATATATATATATATATATATATATATATGCAAATCGGTACATCGATATGAACCACCCAACAATAGACAGCCGAGAAACATTCAATTCACAGATAGTATCCTTAGTTTAGCGTAAAACATAATTGCCGACAGTAACATACACTCATACCCTCACTGAAGGGTTGACTTCAACCCAGGATCGAGTCCAACGACTGAGACTCGCGACCAAAAACACTAACAGCAAAAGTGAGGCATCTGGACAGAGTGCAAACGATGTTGGACTCGGACACGATTGTCCAGCGAATAGCCTTTCAACCACGGTGAAGCCGCTACGCCTTAATCGTGCAACATGGCAGGCCGAGATCTTACGCAGATCACGTTTCCATAGCCTACTCGTACCACAATAGAATGAAAGTAACCTAAACGAGGTGACCCTACCAAACGTTACGTCGAGCCATTCTTTGATAGAGATAATCAACGCTTACTTTGCTTGAAGGTTAGCCAACATAATTGATCTATTGCTTGTCTCAGCAAGATGGCGCGTTCATGTATTTTTCTGTTTCTGTGTAGCACGTTTAGGGTAGTAGTACCTAGGCTTATACTCAGTTTGCAACGGAAATGAAAGTTCTTTACTTTTAGTAATTTGTTTCAAAAAGCTAGAAAGTTACTAAGCAAATGCTATGGACTGGAATAGCAGTCGCGTTATAGCTCAGCGTAGAGTCAGCACTTACAATAAGGCAAAGGACGTTGCTTTCGCTGTAGGCGTCATACCGATAGTTTACAGAGGAATAAATTAGATTTATTCGGTTGAGAAGAACTATTATCAAAGTTGGAGCATTAAGAAAACGATACCCATCTAGGAATCTAACCGGCATAGTTTAATATTGCCCCATCGTATCAAATGCAGAATAGGCAAACGGTTTCTTATCAGTGGGCAAACAAATGCGCCAGATCGTTGCTTTGTTAAGCGAGTAATCTTCATGCGTAAGTGATTTTTTCATAAACTTTATAGATTTAGATAGTCATATCTGATCTTTGTTGCTCGTTTTCATTAAACTAAGCATAGAAATCGATAGTACGTAGGACGATAACGCGCGTGGCCAGAAGTTTCATTCGTTCCAAGTATGTGTTTGGACTTGGGCAAAAATTTCTAAGCCTGATTACAAACGCAAAGGTTGTAGTAAGCAGCGAAATAGGCTAACGCGATGTATACATTGAAATGTTCAATCATATTGTGACAAAATACTCCTGGGATACGTCTACGATTTGAACAGAGAGTAAATGACAGCGTTTATTGGCTGCGTTCAAAAACATCGTATCTTGATAAACGATACATCGTTTCTTGTGATCGAGAAAAAAGAGAACATTGCATTGCAGATTGCAAGGACAGCTTTTAGCTAAAAATTCCATTGCAAAATTGAGAGGGCTAAATTAGGTTTTTTTTTTAAGGATTATGAGCAATTTTAGTCTCTGTTGACGCGTCAGTAAAAATGTTCCTGTGAACAAGGTGGTGAACGATGGGACCCAGCGATCCTTTGCGACGATGCCTAAAGAGTCTCTGACAAAGGGAAGGCGCAACGATAAGTCCAAGCCTTCTGGATATAAGCGGCACTCAAGCGACAAACAATAAAACTAATGAGCGTGATTGACGACACACAAGCAAGTAGAATCCACGTCTCCTTTTTCCATTCTTCTTCGCAAATGCGCGATAGACGCTTGACGTCGATAGGAAACTCAGAACGGGGCCGCCTGAGTTTGGCCAAGACGTCCCTTCGATCTGTGTGTTGTCGTAACGAAGCCTCGCTCCATTCAAAGGGTCGATATCCTTATTTTGCTAATAACAGGTAGGGGCATTTTGGAAGCTTCTGGTGAAATAGCCGCTGCTAGCTTTGATAACCTCAATATTTTTTTAATGGCGGACATACATCCATGTTCTCGATACGACCTACGTACACTATCTGCATTCGGCCGCGAAGAAATGCTTTCATTTCTGTTTCACAAGACAGAGCGAAAACCTGGTGTTATTTCTGCGGGTCAAACAATGTTTTTCGTGTGTTTTACACTCGATCCGTGAGGAGGATTCTATCTTTTGCAAGTTTCAAATATTTTACATTCCTAAAATAGGCAAGTTATATTTAGAATATTCCTAGTTCGGCCCGCGCATTTTTATACTACAAGGTCCTGCATTTCCAGAGACCATATTTTGTATGCCTATTGATAGCGAAATCTATTTGTAAACGTAACAAGTAAACAAATTTAAATTATGTTATACAAGCCATACATCATACGGTAGCGCTTTAAAACGAAATTACGTACCACCAATAAATAACAATCTTTGAACATCATCAAAGACTATGCCACTTAGTTTTAGTTAAAGCACCGAAACGATAGAAAATGTATGCGTAATTTTCATTTTAAAAAACCGACGAACAGGATACTGCTCCTGGGAGTGTGGCGCAGTGACACCTTGACATACATTATATGAAAATAGAAAATGAGAATATATAGTTATACACAGGGTGCTAACCTTAAATTCGAACCTGTACCTTTAGATTGTTGCTAATATAGATTATAAGGAAGGCAGACACTTTTCAATTGTTTTTTTTTACACATGCTTTGTTTGTCGTTGCATACGGCCATTTTCGCAATATTACCTTCGTCCACATTGATTATACCTTCAAATCGGGATCTAAACGACTGATTGACCGTTCGTTCTGTGATCCGCAAATAGCTTTCTAATGGTAAGCATACGTTGAGCGATACTGGTAAATTACTCTTCTCTCAAAAATTGCCAATAGTTTTCTCTGTATGAAAAGTTCAATATTGTAATTGTTGCACCTTGTTCGATACGTTTTCGGGTGCTTTATATATAAGCCGTATTGACGCTTTTCCAGTTCGCTTACGGGGGCGTTTCGCGGATTTTTCTGAAGCCGATAACAAACAGCTAGTGACATAGACCATCCACCCCGGGCAACGAAGAAAGCCTCATGAAAACTCTCTACAAGTCAAAGGATTGGATAATAGCCGATCTTTGTTCAAATCAAAATGTGTTTCCCGCCATGGCTTCGATAGACACAAACAAATACGTAATAAAGCATCAATTTTTATTAGAAAACGTTACTTCTGGCAAGAAGAACCTGCCATTTTAGTCATTTATCAATTATAGCATAGCTGACATCCTTTTACAATCGGACCTGTCACGAATGCCTACTTTACTTTTATTTATTTATAGTAGAGTAATTTTATTAAAATGTTTAGTACATTACACACATATATATAAGATCGTCATTTGAGATGGCTAGTCATAGCCAGGGCAATTGACCAGCAATAAATACATGAGGGGCATACGTCCCATTGTAGGTAATTTAGTGTCATTTACAGGATATTCATTAGAAGTTCCTATTATACATATATATATTTTAGCGTATATATACATAATATATATA